GCGTTCATATGCTTTGCTGTTCCCGTTGCCCCTGTGTCTGTAAGGGTTATGTTGCTGTTTTGTTTGCCTTTTTTAGCATTTATCTCTTTCTCTGTTCATCTGTCTCCTGCTTTGGTTCTTATCTCCCTTTCTCTCTTTTCCGTTGCTTTACTCTGTTGCGATCCGGTGTTTATATATTTCTCTGTCTTTGTTTATCTGTCTCTGCCTGTTGGCTTGGTTTATAGGTGTTGAGTGCAGTGCCTCACCAAGCTGAACATACACCGTAGCTATGTGTGCTGTCTCTGTCTGTCTCCGCTCCTCCTAGTTTCTGCTTTATCTGTTTTTCCAGTTCTTTTCTTCTTCAGTTCACTTGCTCTCATTCGTTTCATTTATGTTGTTTCCTGTTTTGTTTTATCCTCCCGTTCCCTTTCTTTGTATTTTTTTGTCTCTTTGGCTCACAGAAACTGTATTATGCTGGCTGTTTTAGTTTTATTCTCTCTCTTTTTCTTTTTTTTTTCTTTTTTTTTTGTATATTCAGGCTACGGCTTCGACAACCTCGAGCGCCGCATCGGCGAGCTCTTAACAGAGGACTCTTATGGAGAGGGAAATATAAAAGCAGAGACAGCAGCAAACACAAACGCAGAAGGAAACAAACAAAACCAGGATACACAGGAGACAGAAGGGAGATTCATGTTTGTTGTGGGGCGGGTCAACGCTGGAAAATCTACTTTTGTAAACCGCTTCCTCAAATTCGTCGGCTATAAGTCAGAATTACAATTGTTGCTGCTCTCGCTGCTGCTGCTGCTGCTGCTGCTGCGGCGGCGGCGGCTCATGCTGCTGCTGCTGCGGCTGCTCATGCTGCTGTCCTGGCTCTTGATTTGTTCCTGTTGTTGGGGCTGCTGCACTTGCTCTTGTTGCTGCTGATGTTCTTGGTACTGCTAGGGCGGCTGCTGCAGTTGCTGCTGCTACTGGTGCTGTTGCTGCTGCTGCTCTTGCGCTGCCTTGTGTTGTGTATGCTGTTTTTGTCAGTGTGGAGAGGATGGTGGATGCAGTGGCATCCTCGATGTTTTTTTTCTGCATGCGTGTACATTGGCATTTCCATAGAAATTTTGCGTATTGCTAGTGATGAAAAGCTGAATATTTTGTTTTTCTCCCGCCTTTGACTGAAATATTTATTTGGGGTGTCAGCTGGCGTGTGTGTACTCGCAGGCATTTCGGTACTCTGTTTATGAAACGCGCTGTAGGGGGGGCAACGCGCTCACCTCTGCCGGGAACAACATTAGATTTGATTCCGTTTGGGTTGCCGAAGGGTTTCAAGCTCATCGACACCCCAGGCATACCCTCTCAGCATCAGGCAAGGAAAACCCCTACTGCAAAGACTCCACCCTACACCCATTAAACCCAAAGGGCTTGGGGTTTAGGGTTTCGTGTAGAGGGTTTACGATCAGGGTTTCTGGTCTGGACAGGGTCTTGCGCTGGGATTTAGGGTTTAGGGTTTAGGGTTTGTGGGTATATACGGCTTAGGGTTTAGGGTGTGTGCTGCTTTCTCTCTCAGATGGCCAGTGTGTTGCAACACGGAGGCGATCTGCTGTCAGTGGTGCCGACGAAACGTCTTCAGCCGCTAACATTTGCCTTGACGGAGGGAAAAAGCATTTTAATTGGAGCATTGGCTCGCGTAGACCTTGTACAGGGAAACACGGCGCTGTGCACCTGCTATTTCAGCCACAAAGTGACCCTGCATATATGCAGGTCTGTGCACTTGAACGCGTGTTTCATTCACTTTTTTCATCTGAATTATTTCGTTCTGCTTTCATTCGAATGCATGCATCACTCAGGTTTATAGTTTAAGGTTTCTGTGGGTGCGTAGGACGAGCAAAGCCGCCGATATGTTGCATCGCAAGGCCGGCGTCTTTCTTTACCCTCCCCATCTACCCGAGGGTTTCCACAGTCTGCAGCCCCTAGTGCGCCACAGGTACATCAATCAAACACTTGTATGTCTGCATGCATGCACGCATGCGACGCATGCGTGTACTTGTAGAGTTTATGGTCTAGGGTATAGGGTTACTGTTGTGTTCTGTATGCGGCGGTGATATTTGCTTGCTTCTTACTGGTGTTTGTTTCTCTGTTTGTGTGTTTGTTAGAAGCTTGTATATTGCTGCTTGCTGCTTGTTTGCTGCTTTTCAGTTCCGTGTTTTTCTTGTGTTCTGTTTGCCCGTGTATTNATTGCTGCTTGCTGCTTGTTTGCTGCTTTTCAGTTCCGTGTTTTTCTTGTGTTCTGTTTGCCCGTGTATTATTGCTTATCTCCGCTACTTCTTCTGCAGTTGTTTGCTGCCTTTGTTTGGTTTTTCATCATTCTTTTTTTCTTTTCTGGCGCCTCTTCTGCCCTTCTTGTCTCCACGTCGTGGGGAAGTTACTAGTTGTTGCGTTTGGCTGTATAATGCCTTATGTTGCTCTGCGACTTGCATGTAGGGTTGAGGTGTACGGGGGCCGCTTCACAGCGCATGACGACATCAGTATTGGGGGTTTGGGTTGGTTTAGTGTGGCTGGCAGCGGCGTAAAGGCCTTTGATGTTTGGCTGCCTAAGGGGGTTAAACTCTTCAGAAGGCCTGCGTTGTTCCCCGATCAAATTCGGAGAGCACCCCCGCAAGCATTCCGCTCTAAAACCCCAAGGAAAGATACTCACCACCAGCTCCTGCTGCTGCTGCTGTCCTTGTTGCTGCCGCTGTGCTGGTAGTGGCCCTGCCTGTGGTGCTGCTGCTGCAGTTTTCTCTGCATATGTTGCTCTTGTTGCCCGCGTTGCAGTACCTGCTGTTGCTGCTGATGCTGTTGCTGCTGGTTNTCTGCATATGTTGCTCTTGTTGCCCGCGTTGCAGTACCTGCTGTTGCTGCTGATGCTGTTGCTGCTGGTTTCTGCTACTGCAACGGGCGCATCTGCGGCGTACTGTTGCACCTCTACATATTTCATGAATTGTTTCTTTGCGTAGTGATGCGATGTGCGCGAACTTCCCGGTTTAGGGTGTATGGTTTGGGGTGTATGGGCAGCTGCGTTTGCGTTTGCTGCAGAGCGCGGGGCCCTCGTATTAGTGCACAGAAGAGGGCTCTGGCGGAACAAATCAGGGAAGAGGAAATGCGACAGCAGCAACAGCAGCAGGAACAGCAGCAGACTGAAGATGCAAATACTGACACCGAGACGGAGAGTCGGTGGGATATGGCAAATACAAAAGTAGGACCTCTTGTAGATCCTGAAAAGCAAGAAGAATTTCAACTTATGGTTTCTCAGTGGTTAGAAGAGGGCAAGCATCGAGAGCAGCAGCAGCAGCAGGAGCAGCAGCAGCAGCAACAACAGTAAGAGCAGCAGCAGCAGCAGCAAGAGCAGTAGCAAGATATTTGCCTTGAGAAAGAACACACAGGTTCTGCTGTTTCAGCAGCAACAGCGTGTATAGCCAGGGGCTCTTACTGACGCAGCGTATAGGCTGTTGTAAACATACAAATATGAACTTGTATGCTTACGCTTTATACACCTTATAAAACTTTATAAACAAATGCGCGGTATTATATGCTGAGTGCTCCTTAATAGAGATTCGACTGTACGTACATCTGTTCTCTACTAC